ATGATTGGAACCCAAAGCAGCGAACCGAGATCAACGATGTGGGGGTCAAGTCAGAGATTTAATTGGGGTTTAATGGGATTTGATTAATGGGGTTTAATGGGATTTAATGAGATTTATATATTGAGATTTAATGGTTACTTAATGGTTACTTCATGGTGACTAAATGGGATTTATGATGATTTGGGGGTTTCTTAAGTCATGAGGGATCTCAAGTCGTCACCATAGGTTGTTTCAATACTCAGTCATGATCATCCATGACGATTGGATGGGACGGGATTTAGAGAATCCAACTTGGGAATTTTGAACACGGGGGTCTTGTGACTGGGGGGACAAATGGGGACACAGTTTCACATCCTTTTCCAAGAGCGGACTTAGACATTTTCAACTTCTTCGTTTGGCTTCGCCGATACTCACACTGGGACCCTGGGTTTATCTCCCAAACATGTCTGCCCCGGAAGTTTTTATATGTTTTTATGCCATCTCTGAGGCAGCTCCCATTGCTGACACTTTTTCTGGGTTTGCGATTTCGCGAGCTTGATGAGCGCGCCCTTTGGGATGGGGATGGCTTGGATGGGATCGGTTTTTTCATGGCGCTTTCGTCAAAGTGGATCGCCAATGAGCTATTTGATGGGGGTACTGTAGGCTCATGCAACCAGGTGCTTTTCGGAGTTCTACTTTTTGACACATCATGATAGATCATGTTTCATATGATATATATACTGTATATATAATATAATATATCTAATTAGATATATAATATAATATCTAATTATATATAATTATATATAATTAGATATATAATGTAATATGTAATTATAGTTATATATATATATATATATATATTTGCACATACTATCATCCCAGATGTTGTTGTGTTCGAGTCACATCCAAAAATGAGGTCATCTATTTGGGCATCACCCCCAAAAGAAGTCAGTTTTTTTTTCCTGGAAGGTGTGATGCCACCGGGTGATGATGAGAGCCCAGTCCCTCAAAGAGGCTTTGATATCTACTTTGGGGATCTTCGGTGCATAGATAACATCAATATGGAGGTTTCCTAAAATGGGGTTACCGGGTACTCCAAGTCACCATGGCTTTCAATACGAACATGGTCAAAATGGTCTACTGACTTGGATGATTTGGGGTAGCCCATTTTAGGACACCCCCTATATAATCCTATATATCCAATATACAGATCATATCAATAGATAAGTGCCTGGTGAGGCCAGGGATGGCGATAAACAAACATATCCGTCAAAACGGGTCCTCCATCATTCGAATCACTATCAAGCTGTAAAATATCCGAAAAAGATATCCCTATTTGCTATATATTAGAAATAAATCATTCTCCACACCATTCCCCTTAACTGCGAATTCTGTACCAATATCCCCAGTTATCCCTCTGTTTAGTATTGGGTTCGGTGTACAATGCTCCCTCCCTATGAAAAAATCACCCAGAAACGCATGGCTAAATCGTATTGGATCGATCTATTTTGTTTGGGCCACACTTTAAATTTAAGCCCCTAGATCAGTTGCTTCAAAAAACCTATCCAACTATAGATATATCATGAATTATCATGATATATCCACTGTAAACGCTATATTTATCCTGGTTATTTCTGCCAACTGACCTATCTGCTGTTCGGGGGCCCACCTGGTTTCCGAGCCCCCACACCTGTCTGAATTCTCCGGAACACCACCAGGATTCGGCAAAGTCTCGGTCTTTTACGCCCGGACCAGGACTAGCTCTGATTGTGGGAGGTCGCACCTTCGGGGAATGGATCACCAGGAATGGCTCACCCTGTTTCAGCCTAGATTCGTTTGCTGCACATGTTCCCTTCAGCTGAGGAGATGCAAGGCTGCCAGATGGTTGGGAACTTATTTTCCATAAGGATGGATGCATCAGCGACATAGCCAGGCAATTTTTTTAGCCGAAAGGATGTGAGATGGTGAGACGTTGATGGAATGTGAAATGTCGTGTGAACAACATGATGGAGATATAGTCTCAGAATCTTGGGTGATTGGGTATGAAGTTTCGAAGAAGTCGCGGCGCTGAACTTTCAAACCAAGCATATCGAGAGACTGGCAGCGTTGTGATTAGTACTGACATGGTTGGTGGGTAGATCATCAAAACATTTGCAGATCCAACACCAAATGGAAAACCTTCTTGCCATTTCTCATGTATATATAGATTTTCTTCACCGTAGGACTGCGGGGTATGCAGCAATCGCTGAGAACGTCAACCATGGGACAAAAAGCCAGGTCATGGATTTCATCCACGCTGGATATTCCTGTTCCAGCATGGTGTGCGACTGAGTCCACCCAAATGTCGACATGGTGCACCACTGCAAGCTGCGTCTGTTGGTGAAGATGTTTGGTTGTGGAAATTATAAAAGCGCAAGGTTGATTTTTGCTGGTGAAATTCCCATGGTTTTCCCCATTTCAGTTGCTTCAATTTTCGTTGTTCTTTGTCGATCTCCACTTTTGATGAGGATAACACCCCATTTTTTCTGTGTAAAAGTCCCTCATTTTTCACTCTTCCAAGCTCTTCCAAGCTCTTCCAAGCCTAAACACATCCTAAAACCTCCTAAACTCAGCAACTTTCACATTTTTGCAGACTTCAATTCCCCTGACATCCCCCAACATTCCCCAACATTTCGGGTTAGGCTCCCCTGATCCCCCACTAGGCGTCGGCCTTCCATCCCTTGCCGATGAAAACCACGCGGCTGGCCGAGCTGCCGCAGCCGGCGGATGTGCCGTGCCGCCGGCGATTGTTGGGGCTGTTGGGGCAGGAAAAGCCGGGCAGCTGGGAATATGGGGTATATATATATACATATACATATATATATATATATGTATAATAATTATATATATTTGTATATATATATATATTATATAGAGATAATGTATATGATTGTATATGTAAATGTCATATATGTCATATTATATGTTGTAGATATGCATATGTATAGTATAGATATCTTATCAATAGCATTAAACAACCTCTAGAAACAATGGTTTAATAGAGGATTTACAATATCAATAGATTTATATATTGCCATGGTTATAACATGTTATCACCATTCATATGGCAATGACGAGTCAACACCTATTAAAATTATTACCATGTTTTGGGGAACAACCAGCCATTAATGAGCTATTTTAGGGTACTATACCATCCGGGTCGGATTTTGACCCATCCCCCTTTTTTCAGCAGGGGATCTCTTCCCGCCAGGCACTTGCCTCCGGATCGCAGCTTCGTTTCAAGATTATTGGCCACATCCCCGGTGATTCATGATTTACTGATACTGTACTCATTTTGGCGAGTGGATCTAACAAATGGATCAAAACCCTTAAAAAAACACAGCAAAACTGATCAAAACCTATGATAACCTATCCATTTTTCAGAAAAATGTCCCAGTTTGCTACCAGGAACAGGCTATGCAGTTCGTGACACGTTTGGTGCCGTGGCTCAGTTTCTCAATGGACGCTGGCTGCAATGTTGGGGTCCAAACGTAGTCTTAGAATGAGTATGTGTATGGGTTTTGGGATGGTTTGGTCATTTTGAGTCTTCAGCTGTCGAAATTTGTGTTTTCTTTTTCAAAAAATTCCACAGTTTATCCTTATAATTTATAACTTATTCCTGAGCACAAGGCATGAATTCCAGGAAGCTTCGCTGAGATCCTTTCCAAAATTTGCCCCTGGCGCCGTCATCAAGGAAGTTTTGCATGAAGCAGCAGTTTCAAGAATTTAGATCCAGTGAGGTTCCTTCAACGAGAACCACCCGAAGACTATCCTAAGATATCCTAAGCCTTTCTTATTTTTCGGTGGTCCTGTTTGAACATCTACCAGCCATTGCCGCCCTTTTCACGGCCGGGACTTGTTTCTCACCATGATCGCTGAAGCCGTGGACGTCTCAGAGGCAGAGGCGCACCGGTGGTGGTGATGTTTGTGAGTTAGTTGGTTGGTTATTTAAATCCAATTCACATTTTTTATTTATGAACTTTCATGTCTTTAGCTAGATAGTTAGTTAATTAATTCGGGAGATAGATAGTTAGTTAATGAGTTAGTTAGTTAGTTAGTTAATTAATTAGTTACTTAGTCAATTAATTCCTCAGGTAAATAGTTGGTTCTTTGGTTCTGCAGCTTAATTACTATTTTTTTTTTGGAACCACTTCCGTGACGCGCAGATGAAACGGAGCTTTGGTGGGTCATTGGGTCATTTTTCCTGGGTAAATGATGGGAATTGGATTGGGTGAATCATCCCAGACTCTTGGGTATAGGGGTTTACTTCCAGGCAGTTTTTCCATGAGGAACATGATTTTCTAAAACCATTGGACCATTGGATGTTGGCGCACTTTTTGTTGGGCAACATATTCCATACATACTCTGTTGCATGATCTATTCTTGTACCTGTTTTCGGGAAAGTCTTGGCCGGTGCGGATAGCTTTGGTTCAGCAGGGATCATGAAATCTGCCAATCTGCAGAAGTCGCTATCGTGAAAGGATCTTCGCTATCTGAAGGATGTGTTGAATGTGTTGAGTCTATTCCATCTCCGATTCCCTTTGGCGAAACCACGCTAAGCTCGCCTCGCAGATCGAAGAATCGGTCCTCAGAGTTAAACTGTCGATGCTGCGTCGTTAAATAGCCTTATGGCAGCCTAAGCAGCCTGACCAACATGATACCAAACATGATGCCAAGATATGTGCCATGGTCAAGTTATACGGGTTTCCTACTGGTCCTTGGTGGATGGTCATCCATTTGAAAATGGGGATTTGTTGATTAACCAGGCCATTTTTTTCAGGGCTTCCATGAAATGGGATGACCATAAACAAGAAAAACGATTAATATCAGATATGATCATATCATATCATATCACTATATCCCAATTGCATCCCCCCCAAAAATGCTTGAAACATCCCCAGAACTGGAATCAGTCGGACTGGTTTAGGGAAAATCTTTACCAAAAAACCATCAAGTTTTCCTTAAACCAATCCAACTGATGTAACATTGCCGGTGGGCCGAATGGTGCCATGGTGGTGCCGCGGTGCCCTCGCTGCCTTGGTCCTACTGGGCCCCGAGATCGCTGCAGACCGCCCCGAGGATATCGAGGGGAGCTCGGAGTCTTGGACGTGGAACTGAGATGTCTGGAGAAATTCTGATGACCTCGCTGTTCTCCCTCACTAATCTCACTAGAATGGTGGTGAATGAGAGAAATGATCCACTGGTTGGTGCCTCAATTCAGGTTGGTGAAGTAGTATAGTTCAGTTCATCGATAGAAAATCCAAGGAAGATCCCAGGAACATCCATGGAATATCCTGGCTCTTTTTGAGGCTTTGCCCTTGAACATTGATTTTTTTTATCCAAGTTGACGGGGATTTAAAATGGGATGTTTGATGGGATATAATGTTTTCAAGAATTATATAATGTTATTGTTTTTTTTTGGATGTTTGTCTGAGAATTGTGGAACACACACACATGCATGGGAATTTAAATCTCATCTAATTGAGAAAATGATTACTTTAACCATGGGATGGAATTACAGGGATACCCCATTTTCAAACAAACCCACTTTCGCCCCAAATTGGGCATCCCAGCTGCCCAGCTGGTAAATTGTGAATTTGTCTATGTTTCTGACGGTATGAACATCTATTTCATCTTATCTCAATGTCCTCTCATGTATCCATGATCTATCTTAGAGGCATATTTATATAGTTGTGTATCGGTTATAAACCCTGATTTACGAACGGTTGCACCAAGTTGCACCTCCCACAAGTCATGTCACATGTTTGTGGAGCGCTGGAGGATGTGCCGGATGTAGACCCAGAGTGTTTTTTTGTTTCCAGCGAAATATGACCATTTCTTACCCTCCGAAGCTAGATTTGAAGAGCCAGGAAAAGATCTGAATGATTCAGAACCGGCTCTCTAATCCGACATTTCATAACCCGGAAACCATCATTTGTCAGATCTGCAGCAGAAACCGAAGCTTCATATCTGAGGTGGAAAGCACCTTCGACTTTTCGCAAGTGAGCTTTGCGCAACCTGTGGCAGATGACGACTTTGAAGATGCGTTTTATGCGTCGCGGCAGATATGGCTTGAAACCCAAAGAGATGGGAGAAAAGAACGAAACACATGATAGGAACCAAAAACAACCAAAAACATGATAAGAGCCATTTTGTTATCATGAAAACATCCAAAACATGATAACAAAGTGCCGCAAAAGAAAAAAGGCGCCTTCTTTTTGGGACCCCAGCAACCCCAAGGAATCGTCGCAGTCTCCCGAGTTCGTCCGTGCCGAGGACACCCAGACACCGGCGATGAAGTGGGTTAGGCAGTTTGGGAGATTTTATCACATAAACATCAAACAATTATACGTAGTATTTAGAACTAGGAATTTATATAATTATATATAATTATATCTTTATATATAGCATTATATAGCCAGCCATATCCTCATTTCAAGCCCTGAATTTATGAGTTGATCTATATGTATATATAATTTATGGCCTAATCACAAATGCTTTAAGCTTTCACACGTGTTCAAACAGACATTTCGTATCTTCGATCATTTTCTGTGAGTTTTTCTATCCTCCTTCAGGACATTTACCTACCAAGCTTTGGAGCCTCGAACAAAATGGACCATCTCCAGTACCATTCTCCCCATTGATATCGCAATCTCTAGGAGCCAGATCCATCAGATGGATCGTGCTGTTCGGTGCAAGATGAAACGGCCTTGAGGGCATGTGCGGAGCAGCGGAGCGGTGGAGGGGGTTTGCTGGGGAAATCAACGAACAATTAAGGTTTTTGCATAGGACAATCATCGAAAAATGTGGGGGATTTTCCTGCAAGCCATGTTAGATCACCGGAGGGAAGGAAGTTGATGATGTTGATGGCGAATCTGAAGCTTGTTTGTGCTAGGTTGTTTTGTTCAATTCCCGATTAGAAAAAAATACATCAAAATACCACGTTGGCGCTTTTCGCGTTGGGAACGCTAGGCTTGCGCCAGAAAAATCGCCAGAACATAGATAGGGTATGATCGGGTAAACCCCCAAAAAATCGAAACGTAACATACAATTCCAAAATAGTGCTAAAGTACTGAAGTCCATACTTTTCATGACTTTTCTATCTTTTTAGAGGTTAGTAATTATATGTCGTGATCGGTTCAACATAGGGGTAAACAGCATCAGCGCAGTCGTGGGACGCACTGGCGAAGAATCATCGCAGGTGCCAACAAGACCTCTCCCATCGGCGCTTGCAATGATCCTCCGCGACGTGGACGGAAAAAAAATCATTGGGTTGTCGAAATAAATGTGGGATACCACATGAGTTTTTTTTTCTTTTCCGATTTTGATATAGTATATGTATAGAGGTTTCCTGAAATGGGGGTACCCCAAAATGGATGGTTTGTAACGTTTTAGGACACCTCGTGTATATATATATATATTATATACACATTAGATCCATGGATCTTTCATCAGCAACCTTTGGTGGATAAACCATCATGAGTAACTGGGGAGTTCCGGGTTCCTGGCCATGTTTGTTCAACATTGTTCAACCCCTGGCAGCCCTGGCATGGCAATGACTGACACGGCTGATCGGTTGAACACCTTGTGGCACGAACTCAGGTTGGTTGATGTCCTTTTTAACCATTTTTTGGTTGATTTTTCAAGGAAGGGGTTAAACAACCATCAAACAACCAATAGGTAGTTCATGACTTTTCCATGGTATTCAGCCGTCAGCCCATCCATTTGTTCCCAAAAGGACGTCATTGGGAAAATTCAGGCTGGTCATGGTGGTCTCGCATGCTCCCAGAAGCATTCACTATGCCGCTGCAACTGCTGCCATGAATGCCATGTGGAGTGCTGACCGAGGTGCGACTGATTCCATGACGGAAGCGAAAATCGTGTTCGGCAATTTACCAAATGGCATCCTGATAGTTGGACTGCATGTCATGTGTATTTTTCAGACTTTCTTTTCTCAAGCAGAAAAGCCATCGAATTTGATCTGAACAGATCTGTTTTCAGCATCCCCACCACATGGTTCTCGGATCGTGAAGGATATCCCTTTGTGCTGGATGAGAGGGAGCCCGCTCAATGGATCTCCAGCCGAGTTGAGGCACTATACAGATGAGTTGCCGTCATCCATTGTCAGAAATCCATGGATTGATCACAGTTCTCTGAGATGCGTGTATAATCCAACTGTTGAGAATGGCACACATGATTCTTGGTAAGGGGAAGCTTGCCAAAATGACCTTCTTTCAGGTTGGTGAAACTACGATATATATATATATATGCATAGATAACACAACATAACATAACATTACATTACATGAGTTTAGATTACATTACGTCAGATAGTGCTAGATACATATATTAGATTAATATCCCATTGATTGATATCCCATTATTAGATATATATATATATTAGATTAATATCCCATTGATACATATATTAGATAATATACATAGGATACTAATCTATATATTAATATCCCATCATTGATATCCCATTAGATATATATTAGATAATATCATATACCATTGATTAATATACCATTGACATATTAGATAATATACATCCCATTGATTAATATAATATCGATACATATATTAGATAATATACATAGGATACTAATCATTGATATATATATATATATATATTAGATAATATCCCATCATCGATATCCCATTAGATATATATATATAATTATAATTATATATTATACATTGATACAGTGATGATATCCCATATATCGAATGGATTTCAATGGTATCCCCATTTTATCCCCAAGTGGGGTATCGGGTATCCCATTAATATCATATACCATGGATACATGGGGATACCCCACTGGAACTTTCCGTCGAGGTGATCCCCCACTGGCTCCGGAGATGTCGTGCCGAGGGCATCGAATGGATGCTGTGGCTGGCGCCTGGGCCGTGGAAAAAACCCGGGAGAAGCCGGAAAACGCCCAGGAAATGATGGTTTTCATGGGAAAATCATGGGAAAATCCGCTATAAATGGGAGGTTTATAGATGGGAAAAGCATCGAACGATTGCTGATTTTCCACGGATCTACCGAAGGGGAAACTGAAGGATTTTTTGATGAGCATGATCCCATTGAAATGGTGATTTGGAGGGTATACCCCACTTTCAGACACATATCTTATATCATTCTTGGATGATTAGATTTGTAAAAATACTTCATAAAATCATATGGAAATGATGCAGGATCAAGATCATGAGAAGCACAGTTTAATGTTTTTTTCCTGGTTTGGCCGCTGAAATTGGGTTAATCCATTTTGGGATTGGGTGAATTGGTTACCAAGGATGGTTTATGATTGGGTTTTAACGTAGTAAAAGCAACAATAAACCATCCCTAATAGAGCTTGATTATTGGGAATACCTCTAGTTGGGATGATGCAGAATGACGCCCAAATGGCTGGTTGAGAAGGATGGTTTATGATTGGGTGTACAACATTGTTTCGGCAAAACTGTGACGGGGAAACGGGGAATTCTCTCTGAGGGCCATTCCTGCTGGTATTATATGACAGGCCAGGGGGGGACAACCACAGCCTTGTATTATTATGACTTATTATAGATTATGTCTTAGTACCTCAGTATACCAAAAGACTTCAAACCTATTTGGGCTCCGGCCGCCAACTACTGTGCTTGCCTCCCAACTTTTTACTGCTGATTTTTACCCAGTTGTCAATATGCCAAGAGTTTTTTTTGAAACATCAACAAAGCGATTTAAATGGGGATGGGTCAAAACCTACTATTTCATTAATACCATATTGGGGTTTCCTAAAATGAGGGATCCCCGAAACCATGGGTTTCAATACTAAAATGGTCTAAGTTTCGATCATTTGGGGGTAGCCCCATGAATTGGGACAGCTCCATATTTTGGGGAATAACCATCCATTAACCAGCGATTTTAGGGTACCATTTGGGTACCAGGCTTTTGACCAACCAAATCACGCCAGGTGAGCCCAGGCAGCTACGTAAGGTAAGGTTTAGATTCAGCCCATGAACAGTATAGTTATCTCATAGTGATCTCAGTTATATCCTCTCCAAAACAAGCCCCAAGTTAAGATAGAAGTTGGTCAAATCCAATCCTAAAATAGTGACATTCTATTACTTTTCGATGTAAATTCCTACGTTTTCTGCATCCTTTTGGGGAGTTGGAACCGTTGGAACCAAGGACTCCGACGCCTTTCTGCTGGCGCAAGAGGATAACTTCAATCAAGTGCGGAAGGTGACTGGTGGATCAGTTTATTAATGGTAAAAAAACACAATTTTTATATATTTTTTTATGATGTTTGAATAGGTGCAAAAAAATCAATGATTTCGGATTTTCTGGAGATTTTTTTGTTTGGTAAACAGCAATGATAGATGTTCTTGATCCGCAATCCTCCTTTCGCCATGTTTTTTTCATCCGAGGCCATCAGGAAGTATTCGGATAGCAACACTCAGATTATGCTCACCAGGGAAGTGGATTCATTTCTGGCCCGGGACTCAGAGGCTGCCAGAGGCTTTTGGCTGTTTTTTAGGACTTTGGAGACTTTGGATGTTGGAGGTGTCTGAAAATTTTGGGCCCAATTTGCCGGTTCTCATCCCTTTTTTTCCGGGGATTTTTTCCATTCGAAAGCCAGCATTTTGACCTCTGGATGTGCCAGGATCCCAGAGCGCCCTGGGACGATGGTAATGTGGGTGTGATGCTGCTACGATGCCTCCTGGTAGAAACTGGTAGATCCCACGTTGGGATGGTGTTGGGATGGTTGGATGGGTTCCCATCCATGGGAAGCTGTTGCTTGGGAACATGGATAGGAAAAGAACTGGGAGACTCTTTGGAGAAAGGTAGTAGCAGATTTGTTGTGAGATTTGAAGAGCCTTTGATGCTTTTGGCGAGAGTGAAACCAGTGTCCTGCAGCCCTGGCATGACACAGTTCATCTGAGGTAGTGAGTGGACGCTTTCACTCATAGAGAGGGTCAGGAGAGAATGTCTTGCTGAACAAAAGCAAGATGAAGACACTCTGGAGAGGTTGCTCTACACTGAGGAGTATGAGGCGAGGGGAGCTGTCTCAGCAATTGACCTATCCAAGATTCATTCAAATAGCCGTTCTGGGGCTGCCCTGCCTTCTTCTGAATGTACTGGCTGGAGTGTTTGAAGAAAAATGGTTGCTGCAAGAGCAATGTTTTTTCTTTCATCATGACAAAACCAACTCAGAAGCAGCAAACATCATGTTCGTCAAGAGATTCTTGCGCTTTTGGTGCTCAGGATGAGGACATTCCGGGATTTTGCCAGAAATGGGGTATATATATAATTATATATATCCAACAATATCATTTTTAGGTGGAACATGATGATACAAGTCATGATGTACTAGTATGATTTGTAGGGTACTCTGAGTTTTGTAATCATTTTCTCAATTGAAAATGGCCATAGCAAACTTTATCCTCCACTAGATTAACATAGATATGGACAAATCACCAGAATTGTGGATCATTTCTCTTGGCTCCAGGTGTCCTCATCAAATCGAAGTGACTGGACGGTAGATGATCACCTGGTTGTTTTGCACCATTTATAATGTATAGCCTTAATTTTTCTTGGACTACCCCACACACACACAGTCACTGCTATTTGAAAGAAGATCGACATTATCATAAAACATCATAAAACCCATTCAATTCGATTTCCCATCATTTTCATCAGCTTGAAATGGCAATGTTTATCATCATTGCCGCTGCCAAACAACACAAAAATCACGATGGTACCACAAAAACATGGCTCTTTTCCCCATGAAAATCCCAGGTACAAGAAGGTTCGTTCACTGAGATCTCACAATGTGGTGTTCCGCCCAGTTATAAGTTTATAAACCCAAGAACTCGTTATACATATATATATATATATTGTGGTTTCCTGAAATAGGGGTACCTTCAAATCATCCATTTTAATGGGATTTTCTATTATAAACCTAGCATTTTTGGATACCACCATTTATGGAAATATACATGATTATATAATTATATATATAGAGTATATATATATACACATAGCTATCTATCATAAGTCCCAGTGAACTTCGTGTTATCTTCACCCGCTCGCGATCCCCAGAAGATCTCAGGCGCAAGGGATGCTGAAGCGGATGCCCCCGCAGGCGCTGAACTCCATGGGACACAACCAGATCTTTGGGCCAAACGCTTCGTTGCAAGCGGTTCCACGGCGGGCATGGGGGATGGTGGGAGAAAAACCCTGGGGGATCTGGTAGAACCATCAGAATAGATGCGAATAGATGGCTGAACAGAATTTTAAAGTATGGGGAAAAGCCGGAGAATTTTTTAAAAAATGGGGAAAACGCATATATTTTTTGAGTAAACATTTGCCATTTTGGAGAAAAAGGAGTGATGGAGATTCTTGATGAGTATTATACTCATCAAATGCCAATCATGCCGCAGAATCGTACAATTTATTTACAGCCCAAATGATTCTATAGATGAAGACTTGGACACCTGGAAATTGTGCGGGAAACACATTTTTTTTGCGTTCCCAAGACGTTTTTCTATTTTTTGTTGGCGATTGAGTAGATGGTTTATATAGCCAAATTGAAACCTCAACACATGATCCAACACCATGCTGAAATGGTGATATATAGGCAATGCAATAGGATTGTCCTAGGATTATTACCATTTAATGCTGATCTTCTGGAGATATTTACTGCTATATAGCGGGATATGATATTAAATTATTTAAATTCCGCTATTCCATTTGTTGGGACCCCAATTCATCAATGGATCACCACTTTGATGTTGGCACTCACTGTAGGTCATTCACCTGAATGATATGCCCTTTGAAATCCGCAACCACACCATCTATGCTGCCTTTCGCGCTCATTGTGACCTTCCACCCGGTTCCCAAGTGAACTTCACAGCACCTCGGGCTGCTGAAGGCCTTAGTTGCTCCAAGAGATGGGTCAATGCTTAGTTTTTTTGATTCCAACAAGGGGATGCCCGGAAAAAATGGGGTGACTTATGCAGAAAACATCACGAAAAATCGCAAACCAACATGGGGCAGCAATGGGAGTTGCACCTCCTGGCAGATGTAGCCTCGAGGTGCTGAAAGCTGCCTTCGACAGCAGCACCTTCTCCCTCGCCTCGCAGGACTTTCGGGAAGCCGGCACTTCCAGGCGCGCGAGACGCGGCGGGATGCGACCTGGGAGACCTTTGAGGTCCAGGGGCAGATGAATTTCTGAGTTTTCGCCGACAATTCATGGAGTAATTACCAACTTTGGACCCCCCGACTGACCGGAGTGTGTGGGCCCGATATTGTGTTGATTGTACGAAAAGGACCTCCCTGCAATGTCACTGGAAGTGATGGTTCGTGGGGATAACTATCCCCCAACAAAGAGGCACTGTGAACTGTTGATTGCATCCCAGGAATGATAGTCAGTTGTTGATACCCCAAGTGATAGCTGGTGAAAAAGGTTTCCTGGCTACGACCTGTAGGGTCCTAGCTGGATGGCGCCAACAAGGAAAAAAGCAAGGATAATAGTCACCCAAGCAACCAGGAAAGTGCTAGGGTTTGTTCTTCGCATTTTCAGACACACCCAAATACCCCACATCGTTCGTTATAGTACCTATATACATATATACATATATATATTATATTATATTATATTATATTATATATTATATTATATATTATATTATATATTATATTATATTATATATTATATTATATATTATATTATATTATATATTATATTATATTATATTTAAATTATATTATATTATACTATATGATATGATATTATATTATATTTATATTATATTATATTATATATTATATTATATGATATTATATTATATTATATGATATGATATTATATTATATTATATTATATTATTTACAATATATATATAGTACTGTATATCCCACTAGATCCTTACACTACTTGATTAGATACCCATATCCATGAACAAACCATGCAAACTGGCATCTTTTTTCAACCAACAACTGCCATCAACCCACGCCAGGTGGGCGTTTTACATGGCGCGGCGACTGAAGGAACAGAAACGTTTCCAGGAGACAGAAGATTTGCTGCGTTGGGCGGTGGACGGTCTGCGGACGGAGATTGGAGAGCAGAAGGTGGCGGCTCGGCAGGTTTTTTTCATGTTTTTTTTTTTAAATGGGAGAAGCCACTGTAAATGGACGTTTTGATGGGAACTTCACAGTTATTAATAGCTATGTCAACTCATTTATGATGGTTGATCATGGTTAAATGGGATTGAATGGGAAAACGTATATAGGAAAATCCACTATAAATGAAGGTTTTAGTGGGAAATCAACTGAGTCAGTGATTTGGCTTATTGGGAAATCCCGTAGAAATGAGGAATCGATTCAGGTTTTTTTTTTGGGGGGGGAACAAATCCAAATAGTTAGGATCATCCTTCTTTCTTGTTAGGAGTGATATGAGATATTCAATGGTGATTTGATGGGATATTAATGGAGATATCATATGGGATATATATCAACTATGTCCAAGTTTTGGTATACCCCCAAATATCAATTTTGTGGCTAAAGTGATGAGTTTATCATCAAGCGTTGGGGCATATTTTCTCAGACAAAGCTGGCGGAATGGGTTGGATATGGTGACTAAGTGGTTGATAAGCCATTGGTATATGAATTATCCTAAAATGGGGGTACCCCCAAATCATCCATTCCAATAGGATTTTCCATTATAAACCAACCATTTTTGGGATACCACCATTTTAGGAACCCCCCATATCATTGGGGTATTTGGAGGATCCACAAGTCGCAGCTGGTGAAGAAGTGGGGACGTTGGGTGCGATTTCTAACCCGCCAAGGGATTTATGACCAGGAAATCAGGAACTTAGGCATGACACATAGGGCTTCTAACGCCCCCAAAGTGGGGAGTTAGCCACAGAAAACAGGATAAACATGTGTTTTTTAAAGCATTGGGATGTAGTGGGAATATCATAAGGGATACTAATAGGGCCTTAATAGGGAAAAAACAAAACGAATCGGAATGTACTGGGTGTAACCAACAACAATGGGGATATATGTAGGTTTCTTAAAATTGGGGAAGCCCAAGTTACTGTCCCAGTTATTGGTCAATTGTGAACTAGTGGCAATTGCTTGCGAGGCCGGAGGCCTGGTCCTGGTTCTTAAAGTCACCATGGGTTTCAATACAAAAGACTTTGGACGATCTGGGGTACTGTAACCCTATTTTAGGAAACCTTCATATACGCATACATGCATACATACATACATACATACATACATCCATACATCCATACATCCATACATCCATACATCCATACATCCATCCATCCATCCATCCATCCATCCATCCATCCATCCCTACCTACCTACCTACCTACCTTACGTCGTTCGTACGTACCATCACATACATACTTGCATGCATACACGTGCTGTTTCCAACTAGCAGGGAACTATTTTCCAGTTCATAGGGATCAAACAGTGTGTGAGTGAGCACTTCTCTTTGAGTGAAACTTCCACCAAAAGCTTTGTTCACTGTAGGTGCTTTCCAACGAGGTGACCGCATCTACTATCCTGGCCATTCTTGGACCCATGTGTGCCGTCAATACATCAACAGGTCCTGCAGTTGGATTACAATCAATATTATGAGCTTAGCTGGATTTATATGAATTTTGCATGTATGCATTATGTTAGTCCCAGGGCAGAATGGATGACCAAGGATACCCTCTTCGGGAAGTCTGTCCTGGCGCCTCCTGGCTGCACTGCATTGTCGACAGGGAACTGGAATCTCCGAAATGGAGCCTCAAACGACTCAAATTCCAAGGCAAAATGGTGCTGAATTTTAGATATTTTAAGAGCTGTGGGTTGGTGGGTTGAGTGTCGGCTGTGGGTTTTTCACTGCCCACCTGGCTTCTGACTCGTGAGCTCAGGAAATTCCTTGGAAGCATCAACCGGACGGAAGAATCTCTAGAGCTCTTCCAAAATGCGGTGGCCATGGGGATCAAAGTTCTGGGTGCTCACAATCCCGTGCCGCTCCGAAAATGGGGGAGTGATCCTCAGTTGTGGCCATGAAATATCCCCAAAATGGCCAAAGAGATCGGGGAGACGATGACGAAGCATCAACTTTCCGGTACCACATGTCGGATTTGGTGCAAGCACTTCCTCCCACCTTCGCCCCGGTCGTATTTGGGGCACCAAAATTGGAGTCATTTTTGGAGCTACAACCCATCCAGATCCCCAGTGATTGGGTTGGCACTGCAAGCATCCCTGAAGCGCCATAGCAACAAGGACCCATAACCGGCCATAACCAATTCAAGAAAGGCCCCCCAGTGAACTATAGGATGGTACGCAACAAACGTGGGACCACCAATATCCGCAAACCAACAATAATGGGTATATAGGTGGAGTACAACTGGGAATTCTGATTACAGTTCAGTAATTGTTCATGCCATATGATATCCCTCAAATTTGCTGGCAAGTTACCCTCTGGTTATTTAACATAGCTATGGAAAACGGCACATTTATAGATCATTGAATCATTTATGATGATTTTACCGTTCTTAAACATGGTGATTTTCCAGTTGGCAAACCAAATCACCAGAGAGTATTTGACATTGACCTCCATTTATAGATTATATTCCCATTAATGTTCCCATGAATGCCTCCATATTTTGAGATTTTGAGGCTTGTTACTGCATCAGTTACAATCATCAGTTGAGCCATAAGGTCATGATCGAATGGCACGAGATACTGGCTACGCTATTACAATCCCAAGGACGCCTGAGTGAAGCGGCAGGCGCGGCGCTGGCACAGCAGACCCTGGAAAAGAGGAGCCCCAAATCTTCTGGAACATGACGATGTATGAGGTTTACATATGTTTGAACCCATTGGGAATGGTGGTTTTTCGCCGAATTTTCAGAAGCTATAAATTGTATACTGTCTACCCTCTGGTAAACTAACATAGCTGTAAATCAGCTATAAGTTGGACATTTTCCACAGCTATGTTGGTTTACTGGGGGGTAGATACTATAGTTACCGTACTTGGTAAGTGTTGATTCACCGGTTGCATGATGACTTCTACATGAGCAGTGTTCAAAACCCTGTCTCATCAATTTATACTGGTTGGTTGATAGGGATTCCCTCAACTGATTGTGATATCCCCCTGTATATTGGTTAGTATAATCCCCTACAATCATCAAGCAACAGGGCTTTAGCAACCACTGCTCACATGTTTACCCCTTGTTGCTTCTCACAAAGCGATTGATGTTAGATACCTGAGGGTGCAGTTCCAGTTCTTTCATTGGACCCCATACCCCAACAAACATGCGGGTGATTCCAATTTATTATAATTATAGTCAGTAATAATTCAATTATCCAAGATTCCGTTGATATTCGATCAATATTCCATGCGAATCTTCCAACATTCCCAGGATCAAAAAAGCCAGCATTTTTGGTCCATCCTCACCGGCGGCTGGCTTTTGTGCAGGTTCCTTGCGACAAGTCGTGCGAGGGCTTCGACGCTGGAAGGAAGAGGTGAAGGTGCGGCTGATCGCGGAGAAGTTACGCTTGGTGCTACTGTTGAACGGCCCCCTGGAAGTGAAGGGAGGATCGCTGGTTGGTCACTGGTTGGTCACTGGTTGGTCACTGGCGGTTAGGGCCATTGAGGAAAAACCGCCGGGGTGAAGGGATGAATCTGGGAATGATGGGTTTAGTTATATGGAGAATAGGCATTAAGATAAGAAGTATAGCAATATAAATCATTGAACTAAATGGGCCATGGCTTCCAGAACAAACTGTTACCAGAGCATAGGGGAAGACCTAGAGGAAACCATAAAATTTGAGTCAGCAAAAGAAGGCTTTCCTCCCACATTTCCCTTGAAACAGCATGTTTCCCCATTTTCACAAGCCATCTTCCTTGGGAGACCCCCATACAACAGCACGTTCCCTGGGTTCGTCGGCCTAGCCCGAGCCTCCCAAGGTACCTCATTTGTTCCTGGGGTGGATGAACTGATCAACGAGACGGCATCGCATCTGGGCCAGCAGTTGATTGCTTCGCCAGCTGGACAATTCGTGGAAAAAGTCTTGGGGCAAACTAACATCGATTGGGAATTCATCCATGGGCCATGGCTTCCACATCTATTTGTTTGTCCTTAGGGGTAAGTCTTGGAACTTGGCGACACAGAAAAAGCCGACTCCACTTGGTGACCAAGGAATTTGCCCGATGCCATCGACAGCATCGCCCGACAGCGGCTCGTGAAGGCGAATGAGATGCTCGGTTTCCTAAGTCATGGGGATAGCCCAATAGCTGGATGGGTTTTGTGATGGAACATCTGAAACTGAATAAACTAAAATGGATGATTTGGGGGTACCCGCATTTTAGGAAACCTCCATTTGGGACCTGACAATTTATTGGACCCAGAATTTCACGGTTCATGTGGGCAACCCAATGCCATAAACCTACCATTTGGGGATGGTTTATTCTTGGGTTTACCACAGTAATCATCATTTCCCCTATTATTTCATTGCCATTTTAGGGGGAATATGCACTATCTGCAGACACAGCTACATGGATCCGTATGGGGGTATTAACACCTATGTACTAGCAGTCTTGAAGTACACAAGAGCACCAGATTTTGTACCCATGCCAAAACACAGAAAGAATGCGACGAAAAATCATCCGCAACTGGGGGGTTGCACAGGCGTTTTCGCTGGAATTATAGGGTCATTGAAACAGAAGTGGCTGGGAAATCCACATTTTCACAAATTTGCTGCAAGAGCTGCTGCAAATAAAACAACATGTTTCTGGGGAGTGATGGGTTTGCAGATCCATGCAAAAGCAGAATCATCCGTGTGCACTTCGGAAATTGGAGGTAACCAATTTGGAGGGTGTAGACAATTCGAAGGCAACCAATATCGTTACATTGTTCATTTTTTGTCATTCATATTCTGGTTTATAGTTATTACTGCTTTATTTATGCGATTTTTTTGAAGGTACTCTTATTTATTTGTACTTGGATCAATCTTATTTCAATTGTTGATTCTGAAATGATGGTAGACTATGTTTTCGTCTCAACCCATGAGGTGCGAACTTATATGATGGCATGATATTCTTGAAAAGATGATAGCAATAATCCTACGTATCCATATTTGCTTATTGCTTTCAACATGTCTGATATGTCTGTTTGTAGACTTCAAACGGATATTTCAAAAAAAAACATTTCCCACAATTGGATAGGAATTGGACTCCACTTCATTTTCTCTGGGGTTTTTCAGGCCAGGGTCCCGGCGATGGATGGCTTTTGAAGCAAAGCCGAGCTGGGCCGAGGAAATCCTCCAAGTTCATTCTGGAGAACAACCTCAACCAGGCCGAAAACGCGCTGAAACGCGGCCTGGAGAAAGCCAGTTTGGTTGGGAGCCCGAGTGGAGCGTTTTACTGGGATGGGAAGAGTTGGGAAGAAATTTTTCCGGTTTCCTCATGGGAGATCTTCGAAATGGATGATTTATAGTAATTTATAGTGGAAAATTATATGAAAAATCGATGATTTGGAGGTACCCCATTTTTGGACACCTCCAAATGGGCAGATTTTTTTCCCAAACCAGACGCAATCTTTGCGGCCATTGGGAGGAACATGTCTGGTTTGGCACGATTGGAACCATTCCAACTGGTGGTAAAAAAGGGGTCAAATGATGCCAAATGGCTATAGGATGTCTCAGGATTTGCAACTGAATCAAACAAAAACCATCAGCATACCAGCGTTTTTTTTTGGTGACTCAACTAACGATTGCCACTTGGTGCAGTTTAAAGCCCCATATCCCAACTTATGGGGGTTGTAATCCCTTGGTTATCCCTATTAATAACTTCAACTGCACCCCTAAGCAGGCGCGTTGGGTGGGTTTTGATGTCTCCCCGTTTTCCGTGCTGCGCAAAGTTTGTGAGGTTCTACCCATCACAGATGCAGACTTGCTGGCCACGCGCCTAAACTTAGGACAGCCGGTGCAACATTGCGTCAGTCACGGGGCTGTTGGGAAGTGGCGACATCATTAAAAAAAACGCCAGGGTTCATTCCGGGCTGCTGGTGATGATGGTGATGGTGATGATGATGACGATGATGACGATGATGACGGTTATGAGTTTTTTTTTTTTTTTCCCACTAGTTCAGTGATCATTGGAAGCTGCCCGGTCCTCAGTGTCCTCAGGGTGGTTTCTGAATGTCCTCGTCATCCTGAAATATTTTGAAGATCTGGAACTGATGAATGATAACAGTCATCATGAGAATATTTCATAGTACCCTCTGGTAATTTAACACAGCTATGTTAAAAAAACAAACAGTCATGTTTGACTGGCAAATCATCTACACATGAGACAATTTCCATGGCTATAGTTAACAATTACCGGAAGATAATGATGAGGACCGTTCAACAACAATAGTAGAACACTTCAACAATAGTAGTAGTGAAAAATACTATTGAGTTCCGCTCGTGGCGTTTTTTTTCCACATATATATATGTAACTATTATAATCGTGTAACTATTCTATATCTATGCAATAGCACTTTTTTTGCCGTACATATTCGTTTTTTTGGTATTTTACTGGTAACTTCATCATCTTCCAGTCTCATCTTCCGACGTCCCAGCCTTTCGTGGGGCCCCAGGAGCCTTGAAGCAACGCACCGGAAGGTGGGAAGAGGCGTTGATCGAGTTTGAGGTGCCTTGGAAGCCTTGAAAGCTGTGGATGTGGGATGTGAAAACCATGAAACATGGGAGATGAAACATGATGAAAACATGATGAAACCAAGAAAGTTGGGGATAGCTTTTCTTTTGGGGGGAATGAACAATAAGAATTTTGGGTGGGATATATCACCCAAAGCATATGTTCTTTTTGGGTTTCTATAGCGGACTTAAAAAAATCAAACATTGGAAAACAATCGAACATGGGGGTATAGTGGGGAATTTGTATGGGAATGTCTTGGACATATAAGCGAAAATATAACTTGGGTGTCGAAATGGGGGATTGACTGATTGACCCAAATTGATGGTCATCAGGACATAGGGAAAACGGGAAAATGAGGTTTTCCATCCTATCTGGGATAGCTGGCCAATGACTGGCCAATTTTCAGAAATGCACGGATTTGAGGCACCAAACTGGAGATTCTCGTGATTTCCAGTTGGACTGAAAAGGGGAGGCAGATAAAATAGAGGAATTCAAGTCAACGAACATTTCGACCGTTCGGGAATCAAACAAACAGCCCAAACATGGACCATGTTTTTACACAGCTCAGTCATCACTTGGCCCCATCATCTCGTATCTCCTTGTCTTGTGGGGATACTATTGTGATACTGTTGTTTTAAAAGAGCCTATTCTTGATCCCAGCTAGTGCCCATCCATTCACACCAGCCTGTTTGTGATTTGTGGCTCGTAAACAGCAAAGAAGCCACGTTGTTTGCATTTAGTTTATGCAGTTGCAACTGCTTATCCAGTACCCTGCGGCGTCATGAAACATGGCAATGGGAAGGATATCCCCTACGGCCATGGGCAACTCTCCATGGGAAAGTGGCGGATTCTCCAGTCATATTTGATTGGCAGAGGGTACCTGCTATGATTATATATTGATCATGATAATGATACTTGGAACTACTATAGTGATGGACAATCATGTTAACAATGATTAAACAAATCCCTAAATTCTGCCGCAGTTGCTGATGAAAGATCCATGGACGTTGTTAGATTACTGGTGTATCCCATCATATTTTCATTGATTGGACGGTTTATCCCAGTCATTATCCAACAATTAGCATCCATGAACATCGATTAACATCGGCTTACATCAATTAACAACACTTAACTTCAATGAACACCAATTAAGATCAGTCAGCATCAATAAACACATTTTTTTCACCAATTAAGATCAATTCAATATATTGACTATATGAACTAGATCCAATCATTACATCAATTTGATGAGTTTTTTGAAGAACCATCCCCGGCCGGCCAGGAAGTGTATCAAGTTCAGGCCAGTACATTGGGCCCTGAGCATCGCGATAGCATCGCCACCTCCAAAGCCATCGTGCAAATTGAGCTGGGCACAGGACGTCCGCTGGATTTTCGGCAAAAATGTGAAAAAATGCTGGAGAAATCATGGAAACTTCCTAAAATCCAGAGGGTTAGAGCCTGATTTTCAAAATGTGATGGACATTTTGGGTTTCAGCGTTATGCCCTGACCAACCCCCTTAGGTCCTAGGTTTTTGGCTTCAGAAAATTGAGGACGTCCTGTGTATGCTTGGACATGGACAGATAGGTCACAATCTCATACCTAGCAACCAGAGATTTGGCCCATGTTTCGCAGCTACCGCAGTTTGTGGGCTGATCCCTCTGCAGGACAAAATCAGCTGCATGTGCGATACACCAATGCCATGCACAAACTCTCCGCGGCCACCAACCGACTCTCGGCAATGGTTTGGAGAGATGTGAGGCAGTGGAACACCAGTGAAAATCCCGTTTTGTTCTCGTTGTCGGAACACTGAGTGTATCACTGTTGTTAGTGAAACCATTGCGATTCGCCATGCGACCAAAAAGCCCTGGATTCGAGGCTTTCTGGAACGCACCAAATGGACCCATGGTCGAGACGACAAGAGTGACGCTTGGATTCGTTGCCACGTAAAATCTCATAAAATCAGAGCCATGCTGAATCATGGTCCCCCAAATAGCCATTTCAATAGTGAAAAATGCTGGCGAGGTGTCGAATCTACTGGCGGCCATCCAAAAGGCTGAGCCGAAGTTGGGGAAGCACAGTCAGGCCGGAGCTTTGCAGGTGGCTTTTCACCTGCAAAACCAATAGCAATTCCAACCAAAACTGCAAAACACCTCGCCCATCTAACAATGAAGTGGGCTAAGAACAGCCCACTTTTACTGTTGATGAATATTTTGGTCCATATTTGGAAGCTCAAGCAGTAGATATATTCTCCACTTTGGATTTGGTTGCATCCTCCACTCACAACGCGCCAGGGTGTGCTGAAGGCCAAGTTCAGTGTAGCCGCCGCCTTGGCACATCAGGAGAAAAAACTATGCCGAAGGTTTGATGTAAAAACGCATGGTGTCCAACAGTTTTTGGTGGACTTCCAACTTCTGTATATAAAAATCTGATTTGTGTTTTTGAAAAACACACCAAAGACTTTGAAGCTCATGGAGATGTTTTTTTGACATTTTTTTGAAGCCATTTGAGTTCTTTCTGCATCTGACACATGGAAGGAGCTGGTTCCCCTCTGTTTTGGACAGCCCATAAAACAGTTGGCCTTCTTTTGACCTCGCAGGATGTCCAGCGGGTGTTTTTGATGTTTTTGGTCATAGTGAAGATACGAAAAGACCCACTTTTGTGTTTTTTCTATTTTGGGATACCTGGAAATACTCAAACAACATATGCTCAGTACCGTGTAACCCCAAAAAAGAGCAAAAAACGAAAAAGCATGTGGGTTCAGAGCTTCCACTACATGCCGTCCTGGACCGAAATCGATGCAAGGGCAGGAGCAAGGAAGCTTTCCCCGTTTGGCGCACGGTGCTACAAGATCAGCTGAGGTGCCCTGAGCAATTAGATCCCATTGGGGCTTGATTTGATATCACAACTACTAGATGATGGCTAGAGTATTATATATTTATATGATGACTCATATGTAAGTTGTGTTCTTATCGTGGCTTTTCTGAGACCCCATCATGTGGCCATTTTTCTAGCCTGGCATATGTGCCATGGTCAAAAACACCCATATTCATGGATGGTCATTAATCCATTAATACGGATTTATAGACCCATTGTAAGGACTCCCATTGTCGGATAAATGACCAAAAACTATATACTGTACCATGTTTTGACCACGGCACATATAGATTTTGCAAACGGTTGTCTTGCAGCTGCTGATAAAATCAACCCTTTTCGGACGGATGTTTGATTTATTTTCTGGACAATCTGCCTGCGCTTTGCAGCATTTTTCGGAGTCCAAAAACGTGGCAAAACCAATAACAGGGTCATGCATTTTGGGCTTCATATATATATATACAGTATATATATACAGTATATATATATATATACACATACACATACATATTTGTATATATACGTATACACACACACACATATATATATATACACACATATGGTCCCGTCCTCCGTCTCTCCACCCACCCCCCCAATGGGTTGGGTCCCCAGGTAGCACCCCCCCCTTCCCTTTATTTGCAAGCTATTGACAGCATTTCTGAGGTCCAGCTTCGTATTTGCTAGGTCTTTGCAGCATTTCTGACTACCAGCCTCGCGTTTACTAGGTACATGCTACCTTTTCGGCGACCTACGCAGCACACATACTCCTTCAAAGTACCTACGTGATGCCTACGTGCCACCTATAGTCATATATACATGTGCTATGTATCTACTTCCTATTTACTACCTGTGTACTCTGACAACATTACATGTGTTTAACATTTACCGTACCTACCATACATTCCAATGATGCCATGCATACCACACCTATCATACCTATCATACATACCACACATACCATACATATGAAACATAATTACCACACCTACCATACATACAATAGCAAACATACATGCCATACATGCCATACATACAAACAATCCATGCCCATCATAGTAAACATACATACAAGTACCATACAGACCATGCATACTGTCATATCAAACATACCATACCCAACAGACTTACATACCATACCTACCATCCATACAATACCAATCATTCATGCCATACATACCACACCTACCATACATACCAAACATACCATACTTTCCAAACATGCCAAACCAGACCGACCATACACACCATACATGCCCAACATACCATACCACACCCCCACCACACCACAGGGGGGGGAGGGGGACAGTGGCACACCCCCACCACACCACAGGGGGGGAGGGGGAGGGGGAAGATCTCATATGGGGCCAGTATATGGGACCCATCCCATGGGGGGGGAGGGGGGGGGGCAGGGCCTGGTGCATATA